CAATTCATTCATCTATCCTAATACGAATGAAAAACTTAGCTTCTTGATATTATTTATAGATTTACCTTTGACATTTCCCAATCAAAGATTAGTAGAATGAAACTTATCAGATGAAGAAATAAGTTTGCTTCCATGTTGAAGTGATTTCTGGAATCTTTGATAATATAATTAATTCATGGCGTCAGTGAAATTACCCTCGCAACTGACATCTGCCGCATGGTCACGTGACGAAAATAWATTTTGCATAGAATTTAGTAAAATGTGTTTAAAATCTTATTTTCTTAAAGTTCATAGCAAATTGAAAAAGTTTCAAATATTTTTGAGCTGAAATGTTTAAATTGTAAGATTTAATAACATATACAATAATTGGTGACTTTTATTTGCATATCTAATCATTTTCTCCTATTTGGGATTGGAGCATGATATCAGGAAAGACATCGAGATGTATCGAGATTAAATAAAGTTATCTACCTACCTACCTACCTACCTACCTACCTACCTACCTACCTACCTACCTACCTACCTACCTACCTTCTAAAAAACCTTAAGGTGACGCGAGCACTAGCTTTTGAATTTCTGTCAAAATGGTCACATGCACTCATTCACGTAGAAGAGTTTCACACACACACAAGAACGCAACGGGATATCATTAAAACTTGGAAGAAGGTGTACTTGCCGTTTTGCTTATATAGGAAAATAATGATCCCTAATTCATCTTYATAGTTTTCCTTAAAACAGCCAAAGTACTTTAAGGCATAATGTAGTTYGGTGTTGTTRAGGGAGGCTGGTGTCTTTTCCAAAACGAAGACGACGCTGCTGCCGTTGACGTACGATAAATTCATGTGCTCCTGACAGACTTTACAATATCCACTATCGTTCACACAAGCAAATTCATTACTTGATTTTGTGACGTTGACCGCTTTAACATCTTTATTGTTGAATTTCAAAACGACCTTTGTCGACTTGCATTCGTTTTGCGGGATAGAACGATTAAAATATATTCTTCCACCAACGTAGCCTTTAATCCTGCCTGTTGGATCGAAAAGATCAGCTTGAATCAATTAATTGGAAACGATGTAAAATACGTATGTCAAGGACAAGGACAAGGACAAGGACAAGGACAAGGACAATGATGATGATCATCATCTTTGTCACGGGGGATTTCCTATTACTGCTGTTTTCATAATGAAATTGCAAACTCGCTAGCTGCAAGCTGCACGAAATTTGGTTTTTCGCTGCCGTCAATCAAACCTTATCAGTCGGTACCTTTTATGTTTTGACTGGCGGCAGAGAAAAACCAAATTTCAGCCTGCAGCTCGGAGACACAGAGTTCKTATGTTTATGAAAATAGCAGTAAAAATCAACATGTGAGTTAAGTGCTGTATATTGTGAATAGTGTGTGTGGATCTTGAGCGAACCTCACGGAAGAGCCCCGTACGTAATATACAGGAGTGATGGTTGTAAAATATATGCATGGTCATACACAGCAATTGTTTACAAACCTTGAAGTTTAATCGTTCGTCCTGGACTAAGGATGTTCTTATCCTTGTATTCATACGCACAGTAAGTCTCCCAATTATTGAGTATTGGTGGAGGATTCATGATAACGAAATGGACTTGATCATCTTTGGTCAAATATGACGTCACCTGTGACAGGCATATATTATACAGCCAATGATCTTCATTGCAAACTTTGGTACCATTGTATGARACAAATTTAGTTGTAGTTGTATCAGTAGCATTGCTCAATTTGAGAATAACAATCAGCTTTTCTATTGGTTGCTTAGTATCATTATTTTCATTACAGGAAAGATCCAATGGTTCGTCAAAAAATCCTGTGATGATGGAACCTGTGGATTGAAGTTTATTGGGCAAATGAGACTCACAATGTTTTATTTTTCACGGGCTGTTTGTAATATAGCATTTATCTGTTTAGCTGCCCGCCTGCCCGCCTGGCTAGGTCTGTACTTATTACTTAACAACCAAAACTGCTTTAGGATACAAAGAAATAAGAGCACAAAAAACCAGCAGAAAATAAAAACACGACGAATAATTCTAGTTATGAGAACATCAAGACTGAAAGCAATCGTTCATGGAAATGTTCATTTAAATGCAAGATATGTCCCTTTGTCGACAGGGCAGAAAAACGACAAGCCCGCTACTTTCACGATTTTTTTATTTAACTGAGTTTAATACTCCAAATTGGTGTCACTGCTGCTCGAAACTTGTGACGACATTTTGTCGAATTCTAAGAGTAAATCTACTTAGTATTCACGAAAATATCAGTTTTTCTGCTGATCAAAATATAACCTCTCCCAAAGTACACGGCTTTATATCTCAAATACGCATTCAATAAATTTTGGGCGCATTTGATATTTTGCTATTTGGCTCCAAAAGAACGTGTTTACAAAATACTGAGCTTAAATACGTAAAGCTGTCCTTATGGCGAAAGGCCAAAAACCGTTTTTCTGCCCTGTCGACCCCCTTGTCGACATATAAGTACTGCTAAGTGTGGATAAAATTAAATCATTTTGTCAACTGATTTATCCTGAGATTGCATATCAAATCACTATGTTTTCCAAGGTTTTGAATTTAGGTTGACATAATATTTTCGAAAACAGCTGACGATTAGATTCGGTGGCTTGTGGAACTTGCAAGGTAGACAGATTAACTAATGCAGAGGGACAAGGCCGCTTCGCAGGCTACGACAATTTAAATTAATTTTACTTAAAAGTCTTAATTGCTAACCTTTTTCAAGGTATGATTATTCGATTAGAGTAAATTTTTTTACGGGTTTATAATCAGTGGAACATTCCGGCAATTCCACTTTTCACTTAATTATTAAATGAAGGTCGTTCAATTCGGGCTCTTTTCCCAGTTTTATAATTTTTGGCAAATGATGCAATATAGAAAAGTCTACCCTTTTTCATTATACAACTCTATTTTCCGATTGTGTGAAAAGGGTACCCTTTTCCCTAAAAAATATAAAAAAATCTGTTATTTTTTTTAAATGTTAGTGAAATAGAAAACGTCTGCCTTTTTCGTCGTTTGTTAAGCTCAACACAAGGTACATCAAAGAAAAGATTACCTCCCCTTTTCTATGCACAGCTGATTTAGTTTGAAAAGATTTAAAAGGGGGTACGTTAGTTGCATTTTCCTCTGGAAGCTGCAAAGCACGAGCATTGCTACCCCTCATCGAAACAACGATGACATGGCATAGAGTTACAATAATGGGCAGCCTTTTTCGAAGTTTCATTGTCCCTTGTCCAGTCAAAGAGAATCGCCTGTGATTGGCTATCAGTTCTCAACAGCCTAGCTATAATGTTGGATAAGACATGACTGATGACATATGATTAGGCGCGTCTTATTCCTTGCACGTCCATATTGGTTCGCCTATTTTACCGCCTATTTTTCCTTTTTTTTTTTTTCTTTTTTTTTGCAACTTATTTCTACTTCTCCTTTAGATTCTTAGAGGCTCTGATACTAGTAAACCGTCACAAACCCCGGTCTATTCTGCCACGACCAGGGTCTTGTTTGTTTGTAAATTTAATTACGTCATCTTCCATTGAGCTCGACTAAAAAAGTTTCGAGTCGCTGATCAGGTAGGAAAAGAAAAACAAAACAAAATATATAACATAATATAATATACCACATAAACAATAGCATTATTATTATTATATTATGGTTAAAAAGACACCGTTTACAGCTTAAAAACTGATTGAGCTAAAGTGCTTTTTAGGCATTGTTTTGCAGGTTACATTACTAGCAAAAAAAGATATGCTTCTAGTAATAAAATTAGAAATCACCTATGATAAATGCTAGATAAATACAGCAGAGTCAAATGGAAGCTATGATATTACTTCAAATAAATAATATATGTTATTGATCATGCATAGAACATACCTGAACACCAGTCACAGCCTGGGAAGAGTAGGAGAAATAAGAAAGATATCATCAAACTGTTATTAGACATTATATATGCCGATCTTGATTCACAATACTATTTTACCCGAACACAGGTCTTGGGAGAGTAGGAGAAGAAAGGAAGATATCATCAACGTTATTAGACAATGGAGTTGGTACGTTTATTATTCATAATGAGGAAGGCGTTTCGGATCATGCCGATACATGTCATTTACAGTTCATATAGTACGTCTTGGTATATGATCGCACGGAATGCTCGATATAAATAGATCATACACAACGTGTTCAACCAGAACATTCTCAGCTCTGTTTAAGATCCTGTCTCGTGAAATAAGTTAAGTAGAATAATTTCTTTAGCAATAGTAAACTCTTTCTTTCTTGTTCTCTTCCTGTTTCTATTTCCTTTTATCTTTCATTCATTCTTTTCCTCAATCTCGAGCCCAGAGCCTTCCGGAGTTTTGGTCAGCGGGCGTGCGGGCGACAGGAAGGCGCTGAGATTCATTCAT